GAGAGGCAAAGACCGAGAGGGTGTTGGCAAAAGAGGTGCAACATGGGAGCCAGCGGGTGTCGGCAAAAGGGGTGATGTGTGAGGAGGATTAGCTGATGCAGGAATAGGTGGAGCAGGTGAGGGCTGAGCAAAAGGGGATTGCGGAACGAACGGCTGAGGGCCCATTTGTGTCCATCGGGAAGGACGTAAATGCCGCCGTGGAGATGGCAATCTAGCCATTGGAAGGACTGCATTGAAACCGACATGGTGAAGCGTTCAAAGTTTTCGAACCCAAAAACCCTCGCGGGGTGCAGCAGCCCTTCGAAAGAGGCCATGATCAACAAGACCTCCAGACGTATGATACAGGGTAGGATCGATGCATTCCAGGGGCCAAGCCACGAAGTTGAATGCTGGTTGCCCACTCATTGTGCGGTAGAAATGGCGATGGTGAAAAGTAGCAGAAGAGTGTCGTGTATGCCAATGCTCTTGCAGCCTTTGGTGTGCAGAATGCATCGTCTGTATATATCGTCAAACAGAGCTGCCCGGTAAACCGTAGGCAGAGAAGGAGAAATTCACCGACTCATCATATATATATATATATTAATTATATATTTATGTGACAATATATATATATATCCTCCGGGTTCTTTTCGGTATCCTAGTTGGTTGCTTCCCATTGTTTGGCCTATCTATGGGGGCGGTGCTTTTATGTGGGAATCAATCCGATCATCATTGATTGTTTTTTATGATGTCCCGGTACTAATTGCTTACGATGACGCCGAATAGGAATACCAACTTATTGATGGCGAACAAGGCCATCTGCTGTGTATAGATATGTATCTGGGAATTTTTTTTATTTCTTTGCAGACAAGAATGTTTTGACATCCTGGTTGGTCTTGTCCCGTCGTTTGGCCTGTGGGCAGGGGCGGTGCTTGCATGTGGGACTTGTCATCTGGGATCTGTTTTGCTGCCCCCTGTTCTGTTTTATTTGGCTGTTCCCTTCCTCTTTTCTTTGCCTCTTTGCCTTTTGACTGTGTGCAAGTTGGTCGATATGACACACGGGGGTGGGGGCAGCCTCCGCTCAACCTACATCCACGTGGGCGGCCTTGTACGCAAGAGGTTCTGAACAGGGGGAGTTGTAAGGAAGAAGATTAAAATCGAATTCAGTTTTTCTTGTTTCCTTGTTTTCTTTCTGTTTTTCGCTTTGGCGCTCTGATATCATGTGACTATATATATATATTGTCACAGCCCCTCGTTTGTTGTCCTCTTCTCCCTCTCTGCCGAGGGTTTACTGGGAAGCTCTGTTTGACTAAATATACATATATATATATATATATATAAAAAGAAAGAGAAAACTATGAGTCTGACCATAGAAGACAAGGCAACAAAGGGCCCTGGAAGCTGGGATACAGAAACCTACCAACTTTGTCCTTGATGATACAAGGAGAGCCATAGTAGAGCATTAATAATCAAGGTTTCCAGGAGTTCACCATGCATATAAAACATTACAACCAGGATCATAGAAATATAATTGGCAGTCAGTTCACTTGCAAAAGCACACACACCCACAATAACCTCTCACAGCTTCTCACGTCTTTTCAAGGCAAGGACCATGACTGAAAGGAGCTTCCGCATCTGTAACCAACAACATCTTTTTTCTACTCAGCAGGGGACTAGGACTTGACGGGACATGGATAGAGTGATGTGCAGTGACACAATTCCAGATGCAAAGCATGACTGTGACAACTCATAGAATGGTTCAGCCTCAACAGTCTGTCCAGTACGCATCTGACTGATGTTCTCGCACACACCACCTTGGTTAGCAATGCTGTTGAGAGAAGTGGTCAACGTGACTCTCATTGTGTGTATGCATGCGTCTGTTGTCAAAACCTCACTATCCTTCATCTGGGTATGTGTGTAAGATAGGGGGAGAGGGAGAGAGGGAGAGAGGGAGAGAG